TGTCTGTTTAGCTTTGTACCTCAGTTTGCAATGGAAACATTTTTAAAATATAAAAAACTGCGAGCCGGCAGCTGTCAGAGAGGAAAAGATGTAATAATTTTTATGTTTGGGTCCCAACTGGTCCATTAAAGCCTACAAAAGTCATTCAAGCAGATACTGGCTTGATGGTCTTACAACACACAATCTGGATTTCCACCACGGTGTGTGTGGTTTTCTGGCTAGTGCCTGTCTAGACTGGCGTCCTATTATAAATTTCCAAATGTGCCATTTTTCTTTGTGTCCATTCAGATTCATCAAATTACTACATTGCTAGTATGAAGCAATAAATTGGAGTAAAGGCAGAATACAGTACTCCAATAACAAGTAACTAACATTATACTGGATTCCCGAATGTACCACTTCCATATGATCACTGCTGGGGGGCCCTGACAGGGCACGGCATGGACACAATCTGTGCCGCACTATATGTTCGCATCCTATAACTAGATATCTTAGAACTTGCTGGATTTGGCTCAGAGAGAGGCATCGGGTCCAGGACCTCATTTTAGCTCCTAGGCCATTTTCTCCATAACTACCAGGTGGGACTGCATATGAAAATCAGACATTGTGCTTATTTTCAGAAACTTCTGAAGCAGCCCACTTACATGAAGAACTAGGCATTACTGTGCCCTCTGGTATTTACTTACTTGTGGGCCCTTCACAGAGAGTGCAGTGACTTCTCATTTGTGAATCTGACCGTTGTATCAGAACCTAAATGGGAGTTTAACTAAGGTCTCAGGTTCTACACAGAGTGTAATTACGCTCCTAAAAGAACAGATCCAGGCCCCCCACGCCTAGTGGCTCCAGGACAATAGGTAGAGGAATGCAGTGTTTAGCTCTCATATACCAGGTTTAAATATGCACACATTCTCTAATAATCTATAGAAGATTTTATATGAATATTAATTTTAATTAAAACTGTCCATATATATATTTGACCAAGTGGCTTGGAAATGGTTTTAAAGATCTCTAGTAATTAGGGTTTTTTTCTTATTAAGAAATCAGGAATGCATATCACAGTATGAAGTGCTTTGTCAATACTGAACTAACATTTTGTTTTTGTTTGTGATAATTGATCAGAACTTTTGCATCTCATTGATACACAGATTGTATTTTCTTATTCCTGACAAAATAATCTCTTAAAATTATATATTTAGAAAAGTCCTATATATTTTTAACTAATGCTAAACTGCCTTTATCAACAGAAAGTTTTGCCAAAATTAGTGTTTATTTTTGACTTTTGTATAAAACAAAATTTGAATAAACAAAATGCAAAAAAAAATTCTTTGTACATTTTTAGACAAATGTAATTTATTTGCGATTGCTTTCTATAGTTTGTGAAATTAGATACTTAATAATACGTATATGTAAAAATATGCGCAAAAGGGGCCTGCAATAATGTAATATGTTTTGTTGATACAAGAAGAAAAATGACAGGTAAGTATACATACACTGGACAAAACTATAAACACAACACTTTTGTTTTTGCCCCCATTTTTCATGAGCAGAACTTAAAGATCTAAGACTTTTTCTTTGTACACAAAAGTGCTATTTTTCTCAAATATTATTCACAAATATGTCTAAATCTGTGTTAGTGAGCACTTCTCCTTTGCCAAGATAATCCATCCACCTCACAGGTGTGGCATATCAAGATTCTGATTAGACAGCATGATTACACAGGGTGGGGGGGTCCTCACGCAGTGCAATACATCTCCTTCGCATAGAGTTGATCAGGTTGTTGATTGTGGCCTGTGGAATGTTGGTCCACTCCTCTTCAATGGCTGTTCGAGGTTGCTGGATATTGGCAGGACCTGGAACACGCTGTCGTATACGCTGATCCAGAGCACCCCAAACATGCTGAATGGGTGACCTGTCTGGTGAGTATGCTGGCCATGCAAGAACTGGGATGTTTTCAGCTTCCAGGAATTGTGTACAGATCCTTGCAACATTGGGCCATGCATTATCACGCTGCAACATGAGGTGATGGTCGGGTCTGAATAGCACAACAATGGGCCTCAGGATCTCGTCACAGTATCTCTGTGCTTTCAAAATACCATCAATAAAATGCACCTGTGTTCGTTGTCCATAACATACGCATGCCCATCCCAGAACCCCACCTCTACCATGGGCCACTCGATGCACAACAACCTCAGCAAACCGCTCACACACACGACGCCATACACGCTGTCTGCCATCTGCCCTGCACAGTGAAAACCGGGATTCATCTGTGAAGAGCATACCACCTCTTCAAAGTGTCAGACGCCATCAAATGTGAGCATTTGACCACTCAAGTCGGTTACGGCGAAGAACTGCAGTCAGGTAGAGACCCCGATGAGGTTATGCAAACCTATCGTTGCAGCAGCTGTCCGGGTGGCTGGTCTCAGACGATCTTGGAGGTGAAGATGCTGGATGTGGAGGTCCTGGGCTGGTGTGGTTACACGTGGTCTGTAGTTGTGAGGCCGGTTGGATGTACTGCCAAATTCTCTGAAATGCCTTTGGAGATGGCTTATGGTAGAGAAATTTAACATTCAATTCCCGGGCAACAGCTCTGGTGGACATTCCTGCAGTTAGCATGCCAGTTGCACGCTCCCTCAAAACTTGCGACATTTGTGGTATTGTGCTGTGTGATAAAACTGCACATTTTTGAGTGGCTTTTTGTTGTGGCCAGCCTAAGGCACACCTGTGCAATAATCATGCTGTCTAATCATCATCTTGATATGCCACACCAGTGAGGTGGATGGATTATCTCGGCAAAGGAGAAATGCTCACGAACACAAATATAGACAGATTTGTGAACAATATTTGAGAGAAATAGGCCTTTTGTGTACATAGAAAAAGTCTTAGATCTTTGAGTTCAGCTCGAAGCCAAATTCCAAACCCAAGGCCAGAGTAGTCTAACCAAATGCACAATTAATTGTTTTTCCGGATCGGCTATTCCAACCTCAAACTTGAAAATAGCTTAAAACCTAAAAACACTGTTATAAAACATTATTAATCTATCACACTAACACAGGGAATAATGAGTATTATTTATGAATTGTAACTGTGATACCCCTAAGGGAATGGATGACAAGTATATTAATATAAGTTAGAAAATAGAGAACATCCCAATTGTTAAATTAATACAATTTAATGTAATTTTTTTAACAGATCGCTATCCTTATATAAAAAAAAAAAAATGTAAAAGATACCTTCCCTGTTTTCTATTACTTATCAGACTTTCTGAGATTCTGTAGTTAGAAAACTTAATGATCTGCAAACTTTGTATCAGAACTGAACAGATCTTGGGATTTGTTAAAATGGCAATATTGGGTAAAAAGAATTTACATATTGGGAGCAGACCGCAGAAGCTAAATCTTTAAAATGGAAAAAGGTGAGCACAGAGCTAGTGGGTAGCCACAGAATGAAACACGAGTACAGTAATAAGGGGGCACACAAACTGAACGGTAGTATTGGCACCAGGCCCGGACTGGCCATCGGGCATACCGGGCAAATGCCCGGTGGGCCGCGATGGTCGTGGGGCCGAGGCCGGCAGGGAGATCACAGGATCTCCCCTGCCAGCCCGTGCAGGGCCAGCGCTACCCGAGCGCCGGTGTTCTATCAGTTTGGTATACCCCGTCAGATTGCTATACCCACGTCACTTCCGGGGAGGGGAATCAGCTGTCTCCTGTGCTGCACATGCGTGCTAGCACTCCTGCTACTCCTCCACAGCAAGGTCCTGGAAGGTAAGTAAAACTAGTTTTACACTTTCATTATAGTTAGTGTATTCACTAAGCTTAGGACATGGGACATTTAGGGTTAATGTTAGGGTTCAAATTAGGGTTAGGATTAGGGACTTGTTCCTATTTAGTGATATTTCACATTAGGGGAATATCACTAAATAGTGATTTCTCACACTTTATTTTAACCCTTACCCCAAGGGTTAGGGTAAGAATAGAGTGTGAGAGAGGTTAGAATCACTTACCTAACCCTAATTTGTACCCTCACTTAAACCTAAATGTCCCGTGTGCCTAAGCTTAGTGAATGCACTAACTATAATGAAAGTGTAAAACTAGTTTTACTTACCTTCCAGGACCTTGCTGTGGAGGAGTAGCAGGAGTGCTAGCACGCATGTGCAGCACAGGAGACAGCTGATTCCCCTCCCCGGAAGTGACGTGGGTATAGCAATCTGACGGAGTATACCAGACTGATAGAACACCGGCCCTGCTGTGTGTCTCCATGGGCTGGTGGGGAGATCAAAGATCTCCCTCACCGGCCCAGAGGCATGGAAATGTGGCCGCCGGCTGGGGAGGGAGGCAGGATAGAGGACCCGGCGGAGCTCTAACAAGCAGCTCCGCCGGGTCCTCTCGCGAGATTCTGAGCGTTGCCGCGGCAACGCTCAGATCTCGCGAGAGTGAGCTTTCTAACCTGCGGGTTAGGTTCGCCTACTGGACCACCAGGGAAGGCAGCATGGTCCCTTCAAGGCTCCCCTCCCAGGCAGAACGGCTCCCTCCCCCTCCCAAGATAAAGGTAAGAAGGGAGGGGGAGGGGTAAACATAACTTTTTTTAAATTATTCATAAAAAAATATATATATATTTAAAATAAATTCCATAATAGCCCCCTCACAAACAGCCCCCCCAGACACACACAGGCCCCCCAGACACACACAGCCCCCCCAGACACACACAGCACCCCCAGACATACACACAGCACCCCAGACACACACAGCACCCCAGACACACACAGCACCCCCAGACATACACACAGCACCCCCAGACACACACACAGCACCCCAAGATACACACACAGCCCCCTCACACACAGCACCCCCAGACACACACACAGCACCCCCAGACACACACAGCACCACAGATACACACA